AGCAGCAGCCAGATAAAAAATCAAGTTCTTGTAAGCTCTTTATCTGTTTGCTGTTACAGTTCGTAAGGATGCATAACATTGAATGAATAGACATAGCTAATAAAGTTTTAATGTTGCAGCACTTTCCAGCAGCAGTCATCAAGGAAATCTTCATGGAACCAAGATCATATATTGATCTTCATGACACAGACTCGGGTATTACGTACCAATGTGCTTTCAAATCCAGGGAGAACATGACGGAGAAGTTTCTGTCAAGGGGCTGGTTAAAATTTGCAAAGGAGAAAGAGTTGTCGAAAGGTGACGTTCTCTTATTCAGTGTAGAGCATCCTCCTGTGGAACGTATATTGGTCAAAGTTGAGAGAGGGCAGCATTGAAAGGAGTTGTTGATTGGATTACATGGGAAGCATCATGGCAAAAAGGAGGGATTATTTTTGTATGGGCGGAAATGCATAACTATTTTTTTTGAAAATCTATTTGATGCCCATTTGTCTTTGTTATTAGTTTTGTTATATGATATTGTTGGGCTACGGCTCAATGTACAATCTGCTTATGATATGTTAAATGGAATGATATGAAATTAGTTCCATATATTGCGTTGATGAGATAATTGCATATCGTTTCCGGTATTATCCGATAACAATTTATATTAATCAAGTGTCATGGATTTCTGCCATGCATAATCTGTTATTCATGTATCAGTTTTATAGATTAATGTACAGTATGCTGATATACTACCGTGTATTATGCCTAAAGTATGCAAAACAAAATAAGTTATTTTCTAATGTCAGTAATGCATTGTAGTGAGAAGATAATGTTTTCATACTTTAACATTGTTAATTATATAATGTCATTAATAATCACTGTCAAAATTATGTAGTATTAGTTATGATTTGGTGGTAGCAACAAAGAGAAACACGGGTACCGTATGGAACGTGTGTTTTAGTAGGGATAATAGAAAAATAGTGAAACATAACCCACATATGCTATTAACATTAACTGATGTTGTTATATTCAAAATCTGTGTATGCATATACAGGTTCAAAAACTATTGGTTACATGTTGTTAAGAAGACGCCACAGTCAAATATTTTGGAAAACCTCCTTCTAAATGATGTTTGTTGTAGATACCTTAGTGGTGTTGTCGTCGTAGTGAACCAAAATTTTTATTTATTTCTTGTTGGTAACCTTTGATAGTGCCACATAGATTTGTCCATGAGTAAAAATGTTGCAAGGAATGTAAATACCAACCCAATCTAAGAACTGACATTGGGACTTGTTAATCATTATTGTGTATGACACAATTACTGGGAACTGTCTCCGACTTAACTTGAAAGGCCAAGGAGATTGGGAAGGGGACATATTCATTCTTTGTCCATAATAAGTTTATTATATTAAACAAAATAAGGAATTACCAACATCATATTGCTTTTTGTAGTGTAAATTATGCATAGTTTTTTGCAGCTTAAATGACTAAAATCATATCATTCTTTCATATACAATGTCAAAAGGATCAAACAAAAAGCAAGAATGACAAATCAAATCCTTATAAACCAGAATAAACAAAATGTAAACCAGAAATATTTCATTACATCAATCAAAATTAGGTGTGCAATGTTGTCCAAAACAGCATAAAGTAAAAATAAATCGTCGACGATAATTGACTGCATCATTTCTCCAGCTTGATGTCCCTTATTATCTTGGTGGACGATAGTTGGGCACTGTCGAGTTCTTCAACTGTCTCAGGAATAGATCTTTTTGACGGTGTAAGTGCAGAGTTGGCAACTGAAGGGTCATAATCTGCAGTGATTGATAACGGATCCTGCCATTAAAGAGTCATTACAAAATCAGTAGCATAAAAAAGGAAGTAAGACATTGTTTAATAGGCTAATTTGTTAATGTTGAAAGCTAAAAAAAGATGCACTGAAACTGTTTGTGGATCAGCATGAGACTATTTTTCCGAGGTGCTGATGGTCGGAGTACACTGCAAGTTAAAAAACGCAAGAAATAAACGTTAGACAATTGTTCAAAATGTGATGGCAAGAGTAATAGGTCATTCCTATTTAAAACATACTGATGTTGTATGCATATCATCCCGAGTGTCATCTGTTGAGACGAAAATCTTTGAAGTGTGCTGCAAGTTTTAAACAATTGTTAAAAAAATCCAATGCACATGATACTGATTTTAACAACCGTAAAACATGAGTACAGCAGTACCTCTTCACATTTAAACCTCTCCTTTATTTTGGTACGTAGCACTTCATCTGCCTTAAATCCGATTACAGAAAGACTGGCCTTGCTTGGTTGAAACACTGCTCTTATAGCCAACTCCTTCTTCAGCATCACATCAAGTTCATAAGGGAATTCAAGGGGATCAAAATCTCCAGTCTAAATGATTAAAACAATATATGTTATTTACGTGGTAATTATCTAACTTACATATTAGCTTAATGGAAAATACCTCCATCAAATCCAACTTCATCTGAAGGGCGGACTTCCCAATCAACTTTACACAATCTACATCCCAAAATACGAACTTGTATTTTAACTTTCCATCGGAGGCAAGCACTTCAAGCTTAAACCTGTACCATGCGTGATCAAAATAAGAAATTGTCAGTAATGAAGCGTTTGGTTATATGATGATAATCATTGATATGCAATACTTAGAAGTTACCTTGGGACTGGCTCAGAACTGATGTGTTTGGAATAACACATGAATTTTCCATCCTTCAAAGTCACACTTTTGGTACATTCACTACATCCATCATAATACCATCCTGACTGCCCACATTCAAACTTCTCCAGAGTTGCAACAGTCACACATGTAGTTTCCTGAAACAGAAAGATGGGATGATGTCTCAAAAAATGGATTAGAACCCAGTCTGTGTAATTCCTCAATCTAAGACAGTCATGTATTAAAGAGAAACTTACTGTCTGCAGATATGCAATATCAGACATACTCAACACTTTAGCTTTCCATACAAATTTGTCCAAATCAGAAAAAACAGAGGTATTTGTGGTTTCCATTTTCATGCTCGAGGATGAGAGCGTCGGCAGATCATCTTTAAGTCTGATGATCATAGATCAGAATGAAAACAGGTTGTTAGAAATCATAGGTTGCTAATTCATAACTTCATAATAAAATCACTTACTTCTCTTTAAGGTTTTTAACCTCCTCAATAGACAAATCATTGATGAGCAGTTTTGTGCCGTTCCAAGCATTTGATACATTTAAAGGATAATTTCCTGAAAATTGAGATATTTATAAATGACAACACTTAAAGTTGGATATAATAATTGGATATAATAAGAAATAGTCACATAGCAAACCTTGAGGTTCCTTGATCCTTGCATTCATAAGTAGGAGAACAATACTACCATCAGCCTTATGAGTCGTATAATACTCATTCAGTTGCACATCTAATTTACCCCAAAGAGTACATTGCACATGATGTTTGCTGATTGACAGGAATTTCAAAACAAACAACATGAACATGTTAGACTTTTATATTTGTCAGCATCAATGTTAACAAACAAAATGAAACACCTACCTCAGATCAGTTAATGAAAACACAATCTTGCTTTTGTTGTTATCAGGAATTATCTGGGCTTGGGATATTTCAGTAACCCCACCAATTATATCTGCACAAAAGTTCACCACAGACAGTTATGGATAACAGAAACGTAACAATACAATGCGTTCTATTATAACAGTAAAAAGGTAACTCACCATATAACAAATTCGTTCTGTATTTACCCTCAATAATAACATTTATTCCAATTAACTTGAGGTGGTTCAGAGGTATGTCAGAAAGTTGGACCTTTTTGACAGAAGTTGAACCACAGAAAATCAATTTGAACTTATGATCAGTGGATTTGAAGGAGAAATCATTGCTGGAAACTTTGAAATTCTGCATTATGTAGGAACAACCAACTTCAAGCTGTGAAAATAAGATGGCACAATGGCTTGAATCAAATCCAACTGTGAAAATACAAACCTGCATTATGTAGGAACAACCAACTTCAACCTGTGTTTTGAATTTTGATACCAAATAAGATGGCACAATGGCTTGAATCAAATCCAACTGTGAAAATACAAACATCTTCAAATCAGTATCATATACCAGTACTGTTACAACAAAATCAGAATGCCAAAGCAGAAACGTTTAGATTGTATTATACCTTTGAATCAAACAGAATAAGCTCTAAGTGCTCTCTATTCTGAGAACTGGTAACAGACCACAGATGCTTACATCTAACAGCAACCTTCCATAAATCCTTCGAATCGTCAATGCTACTGATATACTCGATTGGGCGCACCATCCTCACGCAGCAATTCGTAACAGCGCAGAGACAGCAAGGTGTTAAGCAATGGAAAACGACTGGAACGTCTGCAGCAATGAAGAAAGAGTGAAAAACTTTTGAGGTTCCATTTGAATTTGAAATCTGATTAAGAGAGGCATAATGGTTTGGCATGGGGAAGAGGAAGAGAGACATATTGAATGGCAAGGAATAATGGATTGGCATGGGGAAGAGGAAGAGAGGCATAATAGTCTGGCATGGATTTATTTGAAAAACAAAAATTGAAAATGTGGTGAAAAATTGTGGGAGTGCCACATCAGATTCAAATGAATGTGGAGCAAGATATTTTTGAGTTTCCTATTTTTCCCCAATACAATAGACCAAGAAAGCATTTTATCAGCTTTGGTGTTGTGGTAATTTCCAGGGACATAGATTTTTATAGATAGATAATAGACTATAGAAAGAAAAACTCTCAGTGTTTTTAAAGGAGTAATATTAAAGTGTTAGCAAGAAACGTTTATGGGAAACAGAGAGAAACTTTAATTATCTTTGGAAACAACCAATTTTATTCTTAGCAAGTCACTGACGGTTCGGATTCAAAGAGTATTGGAAACGATGTGTCACTTTTAAAACATTTCATATTCACTATAAAATGTTATAATTCGGGAACAATTTTACAATCATTTCGTTTGAATATTTCAGATGGAAAAGTGTTCTATTCCTGCAAAGGAAGCAGAATGTGAGAGCACAACGAAACCAAATTGGCTTGAACTTCCAACAGACATTACAACAAACATACTCCGGAGGCTTGGCACCATAGAAATTGTGACAAATGCATGCCATGTTTGTCCTTTATGGTGGAACATATGCAAGGATCCTCTCATGTGGCACACCATTCGCATACCCTTTTTTATGAATACATCCTACTCTCGTGACGATTTGGAAAAGATTTGTCGCTTTGCTGTTAAACGGAGTTGTGGTCGTCTAGAAGACATTGATATTGAATATTTTGCCACCAATGATCTCCTTAAATGCATAGCTGACAAGTAATTTTTCATGTTAATATTTTCTCGAAATTGAGTGTGCTGTTACTCTTCTTATAATTTTTGTTATTTTTATCTTCTTAATATGTGACATTGCTTAACAATGGCTCTATATATGTATGTAAATAGGTCATATATTTTTTAATCTTTAAATTTCAAAATTTACAGTGCCAATATAAGATGTTTGAAGCTTGTAAACTGTGTAAATATTTCAAATAAGGTATTCTGTGAAGCTGTGGGGAAACTTCCAATGTTAGAGGAGTTGGACATTTCATACTCCGGGCGTTCGACTTATTCTCTTGATGTTATTGGCCGTTCTTGCCCACTTTTGAAATCCTTCAAATTTGCAATGTTTGGATTCAATAGTCTTCCTTCAAAGAAGAAAGATGCTCAAGAATAGTCAAATTACTCCACATTGAACCAATCACACATTTTTATCCACCACATTAAAAAGACTTGACAACCACCAAAGAGGTGTTCAACATCTTCTTCTTTCCGCAAGCAAATAGGGCAACACAAGTTACAAGGATCGAGCACAACACGACACTTAAACAAATTGGTGCATATACAAAATAAGCGCATTTGGGTATCATATCTATTTAGGGTGTTGAGCATATACATCATGCATGGCATTTTTTAAATCTACTTTGAGTAAGAATACTATGAATTTTCTTGGGACCTATTGTTAAATTAGCTTATCTACGCAAAACAAACAAACACCTTGGTTGAGAATAGACACGACCGATAAACTTCAATCTTATCTTTGGTTTCAATTCAATTATCAAAACACTCTTCTAGTTTCAAATCCATATTATTTATCCCTTATGATGTGATAGATATGCAAATATGTGATATAGCTTAATATATTAGTCTCGAAGCCTTAGTAAATCATCTTTTTCAAACTCGTGTTAGCTACCCCTAGGTTGTGGTAGGTTCACAAAAATATGTGATATGGTTCATTGTGTTAGTCTCTAAGCGGCAATGAATTATAAAGTCTGTGTTATTTATCCCCTAGGTCGTGATAAGTACACAAATCTGAGTTTTACCTTGCTATGTAGTCTCTAAGCGTTATTAAGATATTTTTCAACCCGTATCATTTACTCCTTAGGTTGTAGTAGATATACGAGGTCTACGACATAACCCGTTGCATTAGTCTCCAAGCAGCAATAAGTTATATGTTTTCTGCAATATAATTCATTGTGTTAGTCTCCAAGCGGCAATAGATTATCAATTTTGTTTTATTCATCTTCAGGGTTGCGATGAGTATACGAAATATGCGTTAAGCTTACAATGTTAGTCTCTAAGCGTTAATGAGTCAACTTTAAAACTGTGTTATTTATCCTCTAAGTCATGGTAAATATACTATAACTGCGATATAGCTTGTTGCATCAGTCTCAAAGCAGCAATAAGCTATCTACTTTTTAAACTTATGTTATTTACCTCCTAGGTTACGGTAATTATGCGAAATCTACAATCTCTTTTTCTAGGTATTGACGAGTTATCCGCGTCGTCATATCTAGTTCAATTTTAGTTTTTGTTCAAACTCTGGTGGGATGACTACATCATCTTTGCCTTTTTTTTTGTTCTCTTGGGTATGCTTTACAGTGTATCAGTATAATCTTTTTGTCAAATTTTGGGGTCTTTCATTACTTAATAACTCTTTGATTCGAATGTGCGAGACCTTCGAATTCTCACACCCTCAATTGAAGAGTAATTAAATAGGGGCAATTGTCATACCCTAAATTTACCCGCATATTTTTCTCGTTATCTATAGCCGAATATCCAGTCACTTAAAAGTCATTAGGTCTAGTAATTTAAAATGTCTCTTTGATATAATAAATAAAATTATTATTTAAAAATAATAAATTTATTTATTTATCATCTTTGTTCACTTTATATCTATGCTTAGTTTTTTCCAACGTTGATTTATTTAGTTTTGCTTTTTTAGAAGCTATATAATCTTTTATATTGAATTATTCATATATTTATTTTAAAATAGCAAATATTATACCATCCTTTTAAATTTTAAATGCTACTTTTAATTCAAATAATTAAGATAGCATAGTTGGTAAGGGAGCATCGGTAAGAATATTGAGTATAAGGTTGTAGGTTTGATTCTCATTTTGCTACATTTTATATCTTATTGTCCTTTTGTGTTTTTTTTAATTTAAGAAGGATAAAAATATCATTTTTAAATTATTTTATTATTATTTTCATTTTCTATTTTAAGGCTATTTTAAATTTATTTTTTATTTTTCAAAATTTTATTTTTATGCACTTAATAGTTAAATTTGGAGAAAATAAATAAAATATTTTCAAATCAATCTCAATATTTGAAATAGTCATAAACAAGACTAGATTCAGAATCTTGTTCACCAAGTTATGGACCAAATTTCAATCAATTTCCAATCTTCAAAATCATGTCAAAAATAGATCAATCTCACTTAATTTTTGACCTAATTCTTAACTATAAATACCCTTGTATTTTCATAGTTTAGGACATCAACAATAATTCAATTACGGAAAAATACTCATTTTGATTCCTTAACTATATGGCATAGTTCACTTTGGTCCCTTATTTTTTTCATACCAAATTGGTCCCTTAAGTTTCAAAACGCAATAATGTTAGTCCTTCCGTTAGCTGGGCTCAAAAGTCTGAAATTATCGTACGTGGCAGGTGCGCTGGTCAATAGCTTCATCTTCTTTATATGTTATAGGAGACATTTTCCTCTTATCCATCTTCCTTATATGCTTCATCTACTCTTCATATTCTCCATGATACGTTTTCCTATCCCTCTCCATATCGTTCATGTTGTTTTGTCAATTACCCATGAATATGAAGCAGTCTTCTCCGCAAGCTAAGATGAAGAAATATGAAAGTATTGATTCGTGTGTTTACAGGGGCTCACGAATTGAACCATTATGTCTTTGTGGAGATAAAGCTTCCATAAGTAGGGCAACCATTAAAAATAATTTTGGAAATAATTTTTTAATACCCCAAATTTGTCCTACCCTTTTACTTTTATCTGGCTTATACATCTCAAACTTTTCTCATGTATATAACCTTCATTAGGTCAGCTAACACATCATACTATTTAATCAATACATTTTTGGCATGGAATCATAGATTTCTAGGAATTAGGGTTGTTGTATGGCTTTAACGCTCTCATCTTTGCACAAGCTTGTTTCAATTGATTTTTCCATCAATCATTTGTGTGAAGCTAGGGTTTTATTTCATGGACTCCTTTATCATCAAGCTACGGGGCTATTCTCTTCTTCTCAACATCAAGTTGCAAGGATTTATTCTTAAAGGCTTAAGAATTAAGGTTATCATCTACTATGCTTCAATTGGGGATCATTGGATTAGGGCTCGATCTTATGGTTGTCTTGAGCCTCTCTCTCTTCAACATTGTGGACTTGTTTTGAATGATATAGTTTTTGGTTCTCTTCAAATACTTTCCACCTCAATTGCAAGTTAACTTGGATTACTGAGAAATGATTATTGATTTTGATTTGTTGAAACTTATGATTGGGCTCGGATTTAATATTGATTCAAGGTCTTATTAAGCTCATGATTTGTTAATGGTCGATTCAAGATGGGGTTGGGAGATTTGTTCATTTAGTTTCAAGGAAGATTCATTCATTCAAGTATTACTCAAGGAGGATATCTCTTGATAAGGTTTTGACCATTACAAGTTAGGGTTTTCAATTGACCTTCTTCCATCAAGAGAAGCTTAAATTGTTATTTGACTTACATGTTTGGTCTTTTCCATATATGGGTGCAAAGTCAAAGGAAGTTGAGAGTTCTAGTCCTAAACTTGGAAAGGAAAATCATGTTGAATCTTTTGAAAGAAGTATCACGTGATTTCAAAGATTCATGAGGCATGCTTTTTAGATCAAAATACCATGGCTTCAAATATCCAATACATCAAACATATTCAAATTGTCGATTGAAAGAAAACCCATGGCAATTTCAAGTTGTTACAAAATACCATGGTGCATCCAAGTTCCCCATGTTGCATTCCAAGTTTCGATCGTAATTCTATTCACACATTAGAAATGATCCAGAACCATTTTAATCTACCATTCAAAAACAATATTTCCATCACAAAAACCTGCTTAAATATCACTAACAGAAAATCAGAAGGAGAACTTACTTCAAACCAGTCCAACAATATGGATTCAGAAAAACAGGTTCAGTTTACAAACAGAAAATCGGTGGAAAAAGCAATAAACTGAAAACAAAATTATATCCGATTTTTCCAGCTCTGACTGTCAAAACAGAAGTATAGCAAACAAAATCTCCAACTGGCATTAGCAGAATTCAAATTTCACAACAGAATTTCTAACTGTTTTGAACGGCCAGCTTGCAAATAACTATAATAGAATCACTCTCACTCTCTTCCAGGAAACAACCTGATTCTTTTTCTTCTCTCTCATAATTTCACAAGAAAAACACTACTCTTGATTCGCTCTCAAGTGCAAGAAGATCAAAGCAACTTTTCTCTCAAGTTTGTTCAAGAACACAAAGGAAGTTAAAGAAATCTCTCTCCCTCCTCAAGAATTTCTACCCCTCCCTCTCTTGCTAGAGTTCTCCGATCTTCGATCCGACATCGGCGATCTCTTCTCCTCAACCCCCTCTTTGATTCCACGGTTGGTTTTCTTGATTTAAGAACTTTTGCATAATTGATTCTTGAAATAAGCACTTTTCTAGAATTGATAATTGAAGTGAGTTTTGAATAGAGAATTGAATTGTGATTGTGGATCTAGTGATGGAATTGTAAACTGAATGATCAAAATGCTTAGATCCGGAATTGGATGATCAATAATCACTTTTACAATTAATTGATTCTCAAGAAAAATGCTTATTCATGTTGTTTAACATTGTGGCCTTTGATAATTGATGAGAAATCTGAATTTGCATGTGATTTGACATAGACTAGAGCCTTGCTTTGTGAATCAAAATCCATGTGCAATCTTGTGTAGATTATGTGCACGATACAATGCTCGAGTCATGACATCTTGGCCTTAAGGCATGACATCACCAATTTTTTAATGAACATAAATCCCCTTTGCTATGATGATTGCATAATAGGTGTGAATTCGATTTTCTAATCCGGTAAAAACATGTCGAAACTCATAAAAACTGATTATGAGTTCATACTTCGATTATGCAATGATCAAGGAGAATTTTTCGTGTGTGTATTCATCGATTTGGTTTTCGTTTCATGTCATGGATATTCTATGATTTTCAAGCTTTCCAACTGTTGTACCCCAAAATTTGCCCTCTCATTTATCAAGAATTTTCTCACAAGATCTCATTTGGCTCAAGACTGCACTAGGGTTTGATTAGCTCAAGACACCTCCTTAAGCACTGATGACCAAAATTCGGGTTTGAGA